AAAAAAAAAAAAAAAAAAAAAAAAAAGAGCTGGCATATATAAAATCACTTTGGGAAAAAAACGAGTATAAAATGGTAGATAAGTAAAGTATAGGCTATTATCAGATGCCACCTGTCTACTGATTCAGGCAAGAGTTTCCGGCAGGATCTGAAGTCACCTCCTGGGGCTTTCCTCCTTTATCAAGAAATTTTCACCTGCAAATAACTGCTCTGAGTATAACAGGCCAACTCATGAAATGAAAATAAATTTAGTATGTGTTTTAATATCCAGATTCTACAACTTTTGTGATTCTGGAACCATTCTGGGACCCAGGGCCATTCATTCGCAAAGCTGATGTTAAAGAATTCTGGAGTCCTCCGGCTTTTCCTTTTGGCATTTTCTTCTCTCTACTCTCAGGTGTTCATGGCCTGGGTTTCCAGCATCTGGTAAATTATTTCTCACTATGATGTTACTGACTAAATAGTTACTCTTCCTAAAAGGATCCCTGGAGAGAGCACAGTTGTAACAAAAGAAGTGACTCTTTCATGGAGCACTTGTGTGAGGGCCTGTGAGGGATACGGCTGTTGGCTCCGGCCAACAGAGAGTATAAAGTGCACAGGGTCACTGGCATGCACGCAGATGTAAGCAACTACCATTTGATCACTTACAGAAATATCAAGCACTTCCATCCTGGATTTGGGGTTCCTCTTGATAGACAGGATAAGTGAAAGAGCCCCATCCACACTTATGGGATTCAGGAAAAGCTATAGAGGGAGAATCAAGACAAGAGGAGGCTGAGATGGGAGGAGAGGCTGGCCCAGAGCACAGCTTCTCCAGCTCATCAAATCACAACCTCCGTCTCACACTTAAGACTTCTCTGTATTTATCTCCTTGTCCACCTGTTTGTTTATCCGTCTGCCTATCTCACTGCTCATCCATCCATTCACCCATCTATCTATCCATCCGATCCACTTGTCCATCTGCTGATCCATCCACCTGTCATCCATCCATCCATTCATCCATCCATCTACCCACCATTTATCCATCCCACTGCTTTCCCATCCATCTATCCATCCATCTGCCATCTGTTCATCTCACTGCTCATCCATCCAACCATCTATCCATCCATTCACCCACCTGTCTATTCATCCATCTCACTGCTTATCCATCCATCTATCCATCTGTCCATCCATCCATCCACCAACTTATCCATCTCACTGCTCTCCCCTCCATGAATACATCCACCCACCCACCCACCCATCTGTCCATGTCATTGCTCATCCACCCAACATCTGTCTATTCATCCACCTGTCCATCTACTCATCCATCCACCTCTCATCCATCCACCCACACATCTGTCCATCTAACTGCTCATTCATTCAACAATCTATCCATCCATTCATCTACCTGTCCATCCACTCATCCATTCACCTGTCATCCATCCATCCATCCATCCATCTGTTAATCACTGCTCATCCATCCAGCCAGCACATATTAATTAGAGGCTTGCATATGCCAGCCTCTGGACTAAGCACTGAGGGATGCATAGGCAGACATGGCAAGGTTTCTGTCCTCAGGTAGCTTAACACTCTAACTGGGGGAGACAGGCAAACAAGCCAATAGCATCAGAAGTGTGTTGACAACAGAGACAGAGGTACACATGGGTACTGCAGGAGCAAGGAAAGGAGCATGCAGCATAGAGGAGGGGACCATGGAGCTAAGCCTTGCAGGACTAATGAGGATTAGTGAGGTCTGAGGAAGGGGAGCAAAACCAGAGGAGGAAATAAGATTCAAAGAAGAAAAGAGTAGGCAAGTACAAAGGCATAGGAGTGTGAAACAGCATGAGATGTTGGCGAGCAGAAGCAGAGAGAATGAGGCCACAGAGCTGGGATGGGCCACATCATGGAGAGCCTTATAGGCATGGAGAAGGAACAAGGACTTTATCCCAGGAGTGCTAGGAGCTGCTGAAGCATGGGTAGAAGTTAACGGAAGGGCCTCTGGGGCCTGGTGGCTCTGCTTACCAGCTGCCTGGCCTTGCATTAATTCCCTGAGCACTTTGTACTTAACACCTGTGGCTGCTCCGAGGACTTACCATATTAACTCAGGCAAAGCATTGAAATGAGTGCCCGGTAGGCAGTATGCAGTCAATGAACAATAGTTCTTATTATTGAAGGCTTTCAGCTAAGTGTCTTCATCATGAGACAGTCAAAACTCTTACTGAGCAACTAGAATGTGTTAGCTGTTTCCCAGGCTCTGATGTAGTCCTTTGAGAAAATGCAGACTGGAGCCCTGACGTCATGGAGCTCAGCATCTAGAATCCTTTGCTGGACTCACTTCCCAATGGGAATTCCTCATTTTTCCAAGCTTAGGGGAAGGGGCACCAGGGTTGGATGTGGAGACCCCTAGATAATTCCTGTAACAGGCCTGTCTTGGTGGCTCACGCCTGTAATCCAAGCACTTTGGAGGCCAAGGTGGGAGGATCACCTGAGGTCGGGAGTTTGAGACCAGCCTGACCAACATGGTGAAACTCTGTCTTTATTAAAAATAAAATAAAATTAAAAAAATATAAAATAAAAGATAATTCCTTTAACAAAGTTGATGTGGTCTCCATGGTGGCCAAACTAAGAGTTTTGTCTTAAATTCTTTTTTTTTTACTTCTAAAACATTTTAGAAAACTGAAATGTATTCATTATATATGGTCATTGTGGAAAAATGAGAAAAGTGGTAAAAAATGGTTTGAACCATGTTTAACCACAAAACAGTGAAGACCTCATTGCCATTTTGCTGAGGTGACTGCTTAGTCTTTTAAAATTCAGGTTCTCAGACTGTCCCTGGCTTCCTCAGCCACCGGGGCTGAGCCACCCACGGCCTGGGTCAGTCTCTGTCTGGGTGGGTCCCGCTCCACCCCAGCTGGGACTCCCAGATCTCCTGGTCCCTGGACGGCCAGTCTGTTTGGTCTGTTGTCACTGTGCTCCTTCTGCCTGTCGGAATCTGGCTTCCTCCTGTCTCTTTAGCAGCTGCTCATGTTGTCCTCTCAGAGGGCAGCCCCTTCCTCACTGGCTCCTCACTGCTTTCCTTCTTCAAGGGTCTTGCCTCACATCTGTGGTCCCTCCAACCACCCTTACCTCCTGTGGGAGTCTGAGTTGCCATGGAAAACCAGGTAGAGTGGGCTTCCCTCTGCCTCTTGCTACTTGTGTGGCTCAAGCAAGTCACACAGCCTCAGTTTTCTCATCTGACAAGTGGGGCTAACAGAGCCTGCACTACCAGGTTAGGCTGTGAGTAATGAGAGCGGGCTCTTGGCAGGAGCCCCAGAAAGGGGGGCGATTCATATAAGTCCTCATCTTTCATCTGTTTTCCAGCTGCTCAATAGCATCTATGTTATAAATTAGCATCTATAAGTAAATTAATTTAAAATGAAATATGTATTCATTAATTCATTCATTTAATGAATATTCACTGGGCTACTACATGCTCAACACTATGCTAGGTATGAGGGACTACATATGAGGGGTTTAATGATGGGCAAAACCAAACACAGTATTTTTTATTTTTTATGAGGTAGAGTCTTGCTCTGCTGCCCAGGCTGGAGTGCAATGGTGCGGTCTCGGCTCACTGCAACCTCTGCCTTCCGGGTTCAAGTGATTCTCCTGCCTCAGCCTCCCAAGTAGCTGGGATTATAAGCATGTACCACCATGCCTGGCTAATTTTGTATTTTTAGTAGAGATGGGGTTTCACCATGTTGGCCAGGCTGGTCTTGAACTCCTGACCTCAAGCGATCCACCCACCTTGGCCTCCCAAAGTGCTGGGATTACAGGTGTTAGACACTGCACCCGGCCTAAACACAGTCTTCGTTCTGATGAAGCTTTCACATTCAAGGGGATGATAGGCAAGCAAAGAGCCCTCAAATACATGGAATGAGAAAGGGCAGCAAATTCCATGGGAAGTAGGGAGCAGGGCTCTGAGAGCAGTTCCCCTAGATGGAGGATTCCAGAAGCAAGCAAGTGGAGGGGGAGTGGCCAAGCCCGTGGTAGGAGGAAAGGAGCGGAGAGAAGACCTGGGGGCCTTGGGTGCAGAGCAAGGGAGAGCACGGGGTGGACTGAGGCTGGGGGGCACTTGGAGCTCAGCAAACGGGGTCTGAGCAACACAAACCCATGGGTGGGTCTAAGCCAAAAGAGAGAAGACTGAAGGGCTGGGGAAGGGAAATGCACATCAGATTTGTGTTCAAAAATATGCTCTGAGGGCTAGGCACAGTGGTTCATGCCTGTAATCCCAGCAGTCTGGGAGGCTGATGTGGGAGGATGGTTTGAACCTGGGAGGAGTTTGCAGTGAGCCGAGATTGCACCACTGCATTCCAGCCTGGGTGACAGAGCCAGACCCTGTTTCAAAAATAAAAAAAGCACACTCTGGTGGCAATGTTGTGAAGATTCTGAAGGAGACCCAGATGGGAGGAAGGAAGACCAGTTAGGAAGACCTGCAGGGCACCAGGGGGCACTGAGGGTGACACTGGCTTTAGAGCAGAGAATGGTCGCTGAGCTTACAGCCGAGAGATGGTAAAAAATACATACATATATGAAGTACAGATGTTCCAAATGATTCTCTCCAGTACTATGCAGCTCCCACCTCACCCCAACACACACACACACACACACACACTTACACACACAAAACAGCCCCTTTCCAGCAGAAGACTACCTTCAGAACTTTGAGGCTTTCATTGGACTCCAGTCCTTTGCTGATTTTGGAGGCCCCTTCGTTGCTGATGTCATTGCTGCTGACATCCAGGTAGACCAGGCAGCTGTTGAGTCGGAGGACCTCCCCTAGGGCCAGGGCCCCCTCATTCCCGAGGCCATTCATGGAGAGGTCCAGTTTTGTCAGGGTCACATTACCCTCCAGGGAGAGGGGAGAAGCAGCAGCATCAAGGTTGTCGTAACTCATCCAACCAAAAGGGCCCCGATTTCTACCCACTGCTGGCATCCTGACTGGGTGTTCAGTGGTCCCCAGGAGTGACAGATCTGCCAGATTGTTCCAGAGCTCACAGCAGGGCTCAGTTTCGAGTATTCATGAGACTCCCTCCCTTTGGCTTCTTGTCATTCACTACCCATTAATTAAACTGCCCTCTTGAAGTGTCTCCAAAGATGCCACCCTGGCCTCAGCAGATATGATTATACTAAAGAATAACGTGCAGGCCGGGCACGATGTCTCACACCTGGAATCTCAGCACTTTGGGAGGCCAAGGCAGGCGGATCACAAGGTCAGGAGTTCGAGACCAGCCTGGCCAATATGGTGAAATCCTGTCTCTACTAAAAATGCAAAAATTAGCCAAGCGTGGTGGCGGGCACCTGTAGTCCCAGCTACTTGGGAGGCTGAGGCAGGAGAATCCCTTGAACCCAGGAGGCAGAGGTTATAGTGAGCTGAGATTGTGCCACTGCACTCTAGCCTGGGCCACAGAGTGAGACTCTTGTCTCGGAAAAAAAGAATAATGTGCATCCAGGGATTGTGGGAGGGAGACCAATAACTTGAAAAGCATTTGATGAGATCTCAGTATACCCTCATTGTTGGTGATCATGAGGAAGAGGCTGAGGATGGCAGGAGGGAGGTCCTGGCTAGCCTCAGTCGGGCTCCACACACCATTCCTGGAGAGTGCCTTACCCGGAGACCATTGCACAAGGCTACAGTTCCTCGTGTGTGAAAGTGATTCCAGCTCAGATCCAGTGACGTGAGCCCCACATTGTTGGCTGAAACAGGGAGGAAATTGGTTTAGTGTCTCCCACAGCCCAAAAAACCGATTCTCGGAGTTAACAGATGTCCATGACATTGGGGATAAAGACCACTCAGTGGTCATGCAAGGTAAAATTCTCAGATAATACTTTTTTTAGTTATTCATTTAAACACAAAATTGTAAGACAATTCCCAGAGCTGGCAAAGATGTGGTGAAATAATCCTCCTTGCATAGTTTAGGTGGGAAGGAAATTGCTATAGTCTATTTGGCAGATATTAGCTGATCACAGATATTTTCCCATTAAAAGGTGGTCACCCTGTCATCACCTCTGACACTCTCTCTACCTAAGATGACAGCACAGAATATGGGAAAAGCAATGTGCTTGTAGAGGTTTACCATGGCATCATTTATAAAAGTAAGAATTATTTGGCCGGGCATGGTGGCTCACACCTGTAATCCCAGCACTTTGGGAAGCTGAGGCAGGTGGATCACCTGAGGTCAGGAGTTTGAGACCAGCCTGGTCAATATGGTGGAACCCCGTCTTTACTAAAAATACAAAAATTAGCTGAGCGTGGTGGCACATGCCTAGAGTCCCAGCTACTCGGGAAGCTGAGGCAGGAGAATTGTTTGAACCCAGGAGGCGTAGGTTGCAGTGAGCCAAGATGGCACCACCAAACTCTAGCCTGGGTGACAGAGCTAGTCTCCATCTCAAAATTAAATAAATAGGCCGGGCGTGGTAACTCACGCCTGTAATCCCAGCACTCTGGGAGGCCAAGGGGGGTGGATCACAAGGTCAAGAAATTGAGACCATCCTGCCCAACATGGTGAAACCCTGTCTCTACTAAA